CTGTGCAATTTGCCTGTTCCCCCAAGAATGGAGTATTTAAATGGGTTTGAATGGGTAAAAATGAAGACTGTGAAAGATTCAACAACTCATAGGAAGGGCAGAATGGTAGTGTGTTGGGCTGTTAACACCTTGGCATCCCCTGCCATGTCCTGACACTGTTTTACACCATCCCAAGCCCCTCTAATAGATGACAATGACCTGTACCTCCCCAAAGGTAGGGTTTGGAACAAAGGAGAGTCCCTTTGCTCATTCGGCTTGCTTGCCAGCATCCGTCAAATCCCTGAAATGTCAAGAGAAAGATCAACCAAGTGGAACATAATCTCAGAGAGATACAGTGTTTTTTAAAATGTCCTCACAGCAGCAATCATAATAAAAACACAAACCTGAGGTTTGTAAAAGTCTAGTAATAAAACCACAGACATCTTTATGGCTCCCAGACACACAGTGCTCCCTAGCAGAAGCAGGAAAACCGTCCCAGATGCAGGGAGCAAAACTAGAACAGGGGAACAGGCCTAATTGCTTTGCAGCCTACAAAAGCAAAAACAAGAAGTGGAGGGTACACATGGCACCAACTCACAGGTCATTATCAGTCAACTAAATAAAATGCAGTTCCTTCCCTTTGCTTCACCTGGAGGTGAGCTGAGCTGCAACGAGGCCGGGTGCTGCACTCTGTTCAACTGTGCCTTTTTTTAAGGTCACAAAGCAAGCTCAGATCCTCTTGCTGCTTCCTGATCTTTTAAGCACGTTCTCTTTGCAAACGAGATTAGAAGTGTCTGTGCTTTCCCAGCTAGCAGGAAGCCTGCTCTGTTCCAGGGGAATAGAGATCAGCTCTCCTAAAATGTGAAGCAGGCCCTGGGGCAATGCAGCTCAGCTTCCCCACATGCTCTGGCAGGAGTTTTAATATTTCTGCACCTTAAAGCTCCCATCTGCAAAATGCAGGCTGTATTGCTCCTGCCCTGCGTCCAGAGAGGTTTTGAGCTCTTCAAGGTGAGCATTGCTTATTGCTATGAGGGAACAGGGTATTGTGGTAGCAGAGGACTAGTTCAGCAAAATTGTATGGCACAGGAGGAGGTTGCTGGAGGCCTTTCTGAATCCTCTGTTGTCCAATCACATTTATACCAGTGTAAAAACACTATGTGCAGAATGGGGCACCAAGTGGTGTACAGACCCTACCAGGTAGGTGTTCTGGGGCTGGAGGGTCTCCTGCTGCCAGCAAAGCAGAACAGCTCCAGCAGGACTGTGTGTCTGAGTGCAAACACCTGGCTGCCATAAAGAGGATTTTCCTGCAAATTATAGAGATATCACCCAAATACAGGGAATGGAAAGCTGCCAAGCCTAGGCGTTACACCTCCTTTTACTGCAGAACAAGAGCTCCACCAAAGCCCTGCTTCAGCAAAGGTCTTACAGGTATGCTTGGTCTTTTTTGTATAATTTTGCGTATAGCTTTTGAGCTAAATACCTCCCTGTGTGCTTGATTTTACCATCCTCAGGCCCATTGCAATTTTGAATTGTCCAGTTGCTCACCTGTATCGTGGGGGCCCCAGATGTCCTGATTCAGCTATTGACAACCCTCTCTTCTGTCTGTGATGGCACAAGCCCCTGTGGTAGCAATAATGGGAAATTACCAAGAGGGGGAGAAGAGAAAAAGAGACCAGGGGAAGCCAGAAGAAGTCCAGGGTAAACACAGCTCAGTGGAGCAGTGCACAGCTGTCCAGTCACATTGCAGGAGCTTTCTGGATGCTGACAGCTCAGCGATGCTCTGGCCCCCGGGTGCATCTCCCTCTGCAAAGCTGCCTCTTCAAAGCCACATTACCACCAACCTGGAGGGATGTAATCGTGCCTCGTGTATAATATATGACGAGAGTAAATGCATGGTTATAGCTGCAGCACGTACAGCAGGTCTGCCAAAACAGTCGCGGCGCTTTGTGTTTGGAACATAGAGGTCTCTGGCCTTTTTCCTGATGCTGTTTGATAGAGTATAATAGGCAGAGCCTGGGCACACACGCGTAAATCTGCCAGAGATTAGTTGTGTACTTAGAGCAAGCTTTTTATGTGTACATATAAAAGTTTTTAAAACAAAATGCAGATGTCACAGATCTTCTTTTGCCCAAGGCAGGGGGGGAAAAAACTGTGGTCTTTTCTAACTCCCAGACTGTTCAAAGTTGTCTTGCATCTTTTGTGGACAGATTGTCCAAGTTTAGCTGCGTAGTCAAAGTGCTTTTTGAAGGCTGTTTTGTGCATTAATCATACCCTTTCTGATTGAAATGGGAATCAAATGCACAAGATTCCCGGGAAAAGCCCAGCCAGGAGCTCACGGTCCAAATGAGACATGGGAACGTCTTTGTGTTAGGATATGGACAATCAAAAAAAATCTGGCTAACTTCTATCTCATGAATTAATGCTGAAAAAATAATGGATTTTCTAAGTATCTGGTTGATAAAGGGGAGATAAGGGATCCAGGGAAGGCACTGAGTCCTTCTGCCAGCCAGCAACCGTAGCAATGCTTCACATTCAGGGAGCAGGTCAATTCACTTGCTCATTTAATGGATGAGATAAGGGTAGCTTACAGTAAATTAGCTTTCTGGCTAATACATGATATCACAGATGCAAAACCCGTCCTGCTGCTGCAGGGGCTGCCTCTGCCCTGGGGGTGCTTGTGCAGCAAGCCTATCTAGAGCTATCTGGAGAGGATACTTTACATTAAAATAAAAACAAACTCAGAAATGACAGCTGAGGCCACGGGGTCCATGTGCTGCCTTTGGGAGGTGGCTCCTCAGCTGGTACGTCCTGCTGCAGTGGAGCTGCAAGACGTTGTGTCTGCACATGCAGGGCAGCACGTCCTGCAGTCTGCTCCCTCCTCCAGCCCTGAGGTTTCTCCTAGACCCTGACCTGCTCTCTCCAGTGCTGCTTCTCATGAGAGACATGCGAGCCTTGGTTGCCACACTTGTCATCAGATGTGATTTGTGCTGCAGCGGGAGGCTGGTCCCTGCACCAGGATCCCGCTGTCCTCCGAGTTGCAGGAACTAAGAAAACCAACAGTAACCAAAACCAGGGCCTGCCTTCGGGAGCTGACAGCGTCTCCCTCGTCTCCCCCAGCTTCTGCAAATAAATCCTTGGTAACATCACTCTTTCTCAAAGGACAATAAAAGGAGTTCTTGTCACTCCCTGACATTGACTTCTGCCCTTTGCAAAGCGCCTCCTCCCTCTCCTGTACAGGGAGAAGCTGGTTAAAAACTAGATGGCATCCAATGTCTGTTACTTATCTGAGAGGCTCTTGGTAAGATGCAGCAAAGGGATCAAAGCCAGTGCTTTTGTAAAGCCCTGCATGAGTGACCATGGCCTGACTGGCATCACGGAATAGATGGGGGCCTTGAATGTTTTACATATTTGATAGGTAAGATGTGTATTTGACAAGGATTTAATGTCCAGCCTCTGCTGTGGCTTTGCTAGGTGGAGGTCAAGGGTGTCCAGATTTAGCTCTGCCTTGTTGGAAAGCAAACCTGGCCAGCTGTGCACATTGCTATTACAGATGCTGCAGCAAAAATAAAGAGCCCCTGTGCACAGCCGAGCGGGAGAGGTGACAGACCCGTCTGCTCCCTGCTCCGTGACCAGCTGCTGCTCCTGCCCTCGTGTCTGAGCTGCTTGAAAAACAAAGCAAGGAAACAAAAATGAGACACCTTCAGATCAGGTGTAGCAGATGACCCCAGGGCCCTGTCACATTCTGCCTGTGCTTCTTACAGAGCCGAGGAGCACAGGCAGTCCTGATGGTCCAGGAGAGCTCCAGCCTGTCCCTGGTGCCTTCCTGCACCAGTATCCAATTAACTAATTAGCACTAATGACCCTTTAAAGCATGCCAGGTCTCTCCACCCTGTTTTTCCTCCACTCTCTTGCCTGCTTCTTCTCTCCCTGATCAAACAGCTTCCCAAAGAGAGAAATGAGCCCCCTGTTTTCCTTTGCAGAGGCTGCGTGGGGCTGAGCTGGTGGGTGCTACTGGGCACCCTGTGCCACATGTTAAACTGCTCAGGCTGTGCCACTGCCCGGTTCTATATGTTTGTTTCTATATATACCCTGTGCAGATGCTTTGTGTGAGCAGTGGATGGCAGGCTTCCCAGGGGGCCTGGCCAGCGTGGGACATCCTGGAGCAGTGGATGGCAGGCTTCCCAGGGGGCCTGGCCAGCGTGGGACATCCTGGCTACACGGTGGGGTCAGAGCTCTTCTCCTGCAGCTCCTGCTCCGCTACAAGGTACCAGTGGTTGGTCCCGAGGGCTGCATCCCAGGAAATCCGAGTAAGCCCTTCAGGACAGGGAGCCTAAAATCCCTTGCTGTGACGCACTGTTTTGGTGCAGCAGGAAAAACGGGAGATGCGACCCCCAGGTGCAGGCATCTTGGAGCCTGCATTTGTGCTTGAGGGGATTAGGGATTTGAGTGTCCGGGACAAGAGGCCACAGCTGCTCCAGAGCCGCGAGCCAGGCTGCTTTAAAAAATAAATAAATAAATAAATAAAGGCGTTTCTTTCCTACGCAAACACGGAGAAATGGGAGATGTGACCCTAGTGCGATGGACTCTCCTCCTGGTGCTGTAAGCGCAGCCCGCAGACGAGCCGCGCACCGCCCTGGGCGCGCGCCAGGCGCGTGTTCCCGCGCGCGCGCCAGGCGCGTGTTCCCGCGCGCGCGCCGCCGCCAGGTGAGCGCACGCGCGGGGACGGCGCACGCGCCCACCC